CCCGCCTCCTCCCGTCCCAAGGATGGGTCAGTAGCTCTACTTCTCTGAGAGAGCCAAATTCTTCCAGCTTAGTCTGGCTTTTTCTTTTTTCTTTGGGGGGGGAGGGAGAGGAGGTGGTTAGTTTCTTATTTGGGAACCCTAAGAACTGAATGGATCAGCGTAATCCCTGGGTTGAGTCCATTGAAGTAACTGAAGGAATTAATTTGGCTCACTATATATGGACTTGAAACACAATGTGTTGAGTTTTTATAAATTCTTCCCATACGTACAACATAATTTCATGAGCTTGATAACTTCATTTTGTATAGAGAAGCCCCTTTTCAGTATTTTTGAGCAGTTTTCAAGAACATTCTACGCACACTGAACTTTATGCCAGTGAATAATACATGGTATCATACATTTCTTGCTAGATTGTGGCCGTCGCCCTGCAGCTCGAATGAGCAAGAGGATCCTTGGTGGCAGGACTAGTCGTCCAGGACGATGGCCATGGCAGTGCTCTCTGCAGAGTGAACCAAGTGGGCACATATGTGGCTGTGTTTTGATTGCAAACAAATGGGTTTTGACGGTAGCACACTGCTTTGAGGGGTGAGCAGAGCTCTGAGAGCTTTACTGTTGGTACAAATGGCTATTTAGACAAATAACTTCCACATAAAAATGTCAAAATAAAAAAATCAGTACATGTTGCACCTCTATAAACCAGAACTCTCTGGCCAGACCACAGATGTTCCAGATCAGAGAGTCCCAGTGGAATTGGGGAGGGGAGGAGCTTGGTTGGCAGCATCTAGGCTGTGGAGGGGAGGCAGGAGCTCAAAACCCCGGTGTGCGTGGCTCAACTGCACTGGGGGCAGAAGCTGGGGAGCTGGGTGCATGGCTCAGCTGGGCTATAGGGGAGGGGGATTCTGGGGAGACCAGTGCCCAGCTCAGCCGGCCTAGAGGAGGATAAGGAGGGAGCTGGGAAGGCTGGAGGTGTTGGAGGGGAGAGAGGGATAGGAAGCCTGGGACCTGACCCAGCTGGGCTGCCGGGGGACATGGGAAACCCAGTGGGGTATCAGGGTTGGGGTTGAGGCCGGCAGCAGGGAGGCCAGATATAACCTTCCCATGTCCAGCAAAATCCATTATCAGGAACCAGTCAGGTCCCAAGGGTGCCGGACCAGGGAGGTCCAACCTGTAGTTGATCTTGTCAAATCAGCAAATCATAACAGACCAGTTTTTAGAGTCTAAATAGAAAATGAATGTTTTGAATGGCTTCATCTGAGGGTTTGACTAGTTTTAATATTCATTTTGCTACCTAAAATTGATGGCTTTGACTTTCAGCTGAAATATCCACAAAACCTATCCCTTATCTTTGTGATATTTTATGAATGTGTTACATATAAACTGCATTGGATTAATATCTCTTCTCGCTGATAGTCAGAAAAAAATACAAGAATATGTGGACAGTGGTTGCTATTTAACTAGAAAAAACTCCCATAGTTTGCCAGAGAGGAGTCTGAGGCTACATCTACACAGCTTCCCTCTTCCGCAAAGCCTATGCAAATGAAGCTCAGATTAGCATATTACTATGCTTCATTTGCATAATTAATTATGCAAATGGAGCATGGGAATATGCCAATCTCCGCTTCATTTGCATAGGCTTTTGCGGAAGAGGGAAGCTATGTAGACGCAGCCTAAGATAATGAAGTTACTGCCTTTTCTAACCATAGAGAAATACTGTGGTATCTCCAATAGGGCTGTCGTCATTTAAAAAGTCAGCATTAACTAGAGAGTGGTAATTTCTAGTATCTGAGATTCAGTACCAAATGGATTTTCTGTGTGAAGCACAGGAATGTTGGTGCACCTTAGGCACCACATACTGGTGACAAGTTAATGTCAATCCTGGTATCATTTTGATAAACTTCCATCCAAAATCCTGTTTTAACAACTTACTTTCTGTTGTCCTGTTAATTAGGTTTCTAAAAAGAATTAAAATGTGTCCCATCTGTTAGTGTGCTTCCTGCCCCTCTGCAATAGCATTTGTACACTAAGTACATTTCTGATGCACAGTTTCTCAGCTCATACATCTCTAATGGGAGATGCCTACCTTCTGTGGAGTTCGGAGACAAACAATCCTGGAGTCTCCAAAAACTGCAGCTGAACGAAGTGCCATCCTTCAACTCAGGGCACCAGAAATCCTGCTTCTGGCAGTAGAAAAAGCTGTCAGCTCAGTTTCTCCTGACCGCTCTTGGATTTATAACTATTTGTGTTCATTTTTGTGCATTAGCAACTTCACCTCAGCTTCTAGCTCCCCTTACTTGTTACTGAAGCGAGGAATTGCTGGAACATTGAGTCTCCCTCTGGTTCTTCTGGTGCAGCACCTCTTGAACGGCCTCTCTCTCCCTCACTACAGTAGTAGGGAAGCCCTGGTTTGAATTAGGAATGTTATCTAACATGAACTTGTGTCAAAGTGTAATCACTGGATTTTTTTAATCGGTTACACATTTACACGTCGGGAGATGGGAGCCGGTGCCCATGGGGAGCCAGCTTGAAAACTGGCTCCCTGTGCATGCTGGCTTTCCTCCCCCCAATCCTGCACTGCTGCCTCTGTATCAAAGGCAGCAGCGGGAGGAGGGGGGGAGGAGGATCTGATATTTGCAAGAAGCTTTTAAGCTGGTTCTCCAAACATGCTGGCTCTATGGAGTCGCCTGCCTCCCACAGAGGCAGCAACACAGAGGGGAGGGGAGGGTGAGCAGGCAAATGATACACACAGGAAACTGGCTTTCAAGCCAGCTCCTGCCTCCCTCCCCCCATCTCCAAGGTGTTGCCTTCCACAGAGGCAGAAGTGTGTGTGTGTGGTGAGGCAGATGGGAGCTGGTATGCATGGAGAACCAACTTCTGTAGAGCCATCTGCCCCTCTTTGTCCCCCACCCCCTCCTGCCTCTGATAGGGCTGCGTTGGGGAGGGGAGGAGCAGATGGGAGCCGGTATATGTAGGATGCAGCTTAAATGACTGGTTCCTGCCTGCTCCCCACCCAGATACAGTGACAGCAAGTGGGGAGGGTGCACGTAATCATTAAGATTAACCAATAATCCCAGGTTTATCAGTAAATTGTGTAAATGACAACATGCTAACATGCCAGACGTCTCGGGTTCACACTCTGGTCTGTGCTGGCAGCAGTGTGTACAAGACTATGTTTGCAAAATTTCCTGACTGTTGATGTGATCATATTTTGTTCATCTCAGTTACTCTAAATGTCAGGGTCTTTGGGCTTCATGTTTGCTACAGGCAAGATGTTCAAATCCTGCACCAGTTGTCATGCTAGCTCTTTGAGAAACCACACACAGAGGGCATTCAAGGCTGCCATTTATATGGGATTTGTGGGAAGAAAGCATCTAATTTACACAGTAGGTTTCCATTCCTCTGTAGTGACATCTTTTATTAGGAAGTTGCTGTTGGGTTGATCCCTAAACAAGTTATAAGATTGCGCTTTTATGTAGAAGGAAGTTCTATTTCTGCCTCTTATTCTACTATGACAGTAATTAAAATTCCACTTTATCCTCCTTTTACCACTTTCCCCATTTCTGGGATTCACTGCTTGCTAGTCCCCATTGCAGGTGAATAAGGAAAGAAGTTAAGCAGAAAAATGAGAAATTTCTTTCCTATTAGGCTGCGTCTATACTGCGCTCTCTTGTGCAAGAAAATATGCAAATGAGGCAAAGCAGTGAATATCACCGCTCCTCATTTGCATACTTAATGAGTCGCCATTTTGTGCAAGGGGCTTTTGCACAAAAAGGAGCCATCTACACGGCTCCTTTTTGCGCAAAAACCCCCTCTTGCGGCAAGAGCCGTTCTCTCAGGGAGGAAAAAAGCGGCAGAACAGCTCTTGCACAAGAGGGGGGTTTTGTGCAAAAAGGAGCCATGTAGATGGCTCCTTTTTGTGCAAAAGCCCCTTGCACAAAATGGCGACTCATTAAGTATGCAAATGAGGAGCGGTGATATTCACTGCTTCGCCTCATTTGCATATTTTCTTGCACAAGAGAGCGCAGTATAGATGTGGCTTTAGTGTCTTTTTTTCATTCAACCCACTCTGGAAGACTTATATGTAACTTCTAACTTACAATAAATTGATATTTTTTCCTTTGAAGGGTGACCAATATTTAACTTTTTTAAGGGTTAATCAACAGCATTTCATCTTAATGCTGTTAATCTGTGGCAGTTGAGAGGCATCATTATGCATTAATGATAACTGAGGAGAGAAGCTACTTGCAGAAGTTTTCTTTCTGCAGAACGGACTTTTTGAAGTGGTTCATTTGTCCCTGGATAGATCTATGTTGCAGCAGTGCGTACCTAGAATGTTTCCTTTAAAAGAATGCTCTGTATCCCAGAATGGAAGCCAAATGCCATCTATTTGAAATTGCTGGAATGATGTAAAGGATATCTTGTTTGAATCTGTCACTGTGAAATTACAAGAAATGTGTTATGCTCGCTCTTCTGACCCTCGGGTGGCACCAAACTATACACGTGAGGTGGTGTTAAATCTTATTAGTTTACTTTCGTAAATTGGAGGGCCCAGCCTGTTTCCTTATCTGTTTGGTGTTGTATTGTAGATTAAGATGGTCTGTGGTAAATTATTTTAAATTGTGACAAAAAAGAGGAATTTGAAAGGGATCTTAAGATGAGTCCCATCTTTATCCTGAGACTTATTAGTTACAGGCATTTTGGCAAAGCCAGCCAGTCTGCAGTGTCTTGAGTATATATAGGTGTTACAGCCACTCAGAGAGCATGCTTTTCAGCGCACATGCTTTCACCTACTTATAGACCATAGCAATGAAATTTTATAAAGTATGCTGTAGTCCATGTTCTTGACATTTCTAGTGTCTTTTCATTGTGTACCCTATGGTTTTGTCAAGGCCATTTTGCAGTAAGTCCTGTGAAAATGCCTAAGACCAATTTAAAATAACCAAAAGTTTTCCTCTGGAGGAAAATATTCCTGTTGTGTGACCATGGCTGTGCATTTTCAAAATCCTTCTTTGCTTTGTTCTCACAAGATACATTGATACATGTTCTCACAAGATACATGAATTACAAAATATGCATTGTAATTTGTCATTCTACAGAAAGCCGTGATCTGGTCATGGGATAGAAATGTCAGCAATGACATGTTAACCTTATTTTAACAAAAATAACATTATGATGAAATCAAAACCACATGCTGAGAAAGAGCTGCACTTATGCATTTTTCTCAGCATCTTTCTGGCTCAGTCTCTGTACAGGCAGCCAGACTTTACAAAACTGTGTTCAATCAGCTATGCAAATACTGAATGCTTCCTTTTATTTTATTTTTTTAAGCCACAGGGAAGTCAGAGACCCTGTGACTACCCACTAGTTTTCATCATGCAACTTTAGTCTATGATACAGCCCAAATTTTAACATGGTATCTCACGTGCACCTCAACTGATATTGGTTCAGTTTTAACACTATAATCTCCTCAGTAATGAGGACTATTTAAAAAAAAAAAAAAAGAATTCTGGACATGTAGTCTTAGCCAATTATGGCTGACACTTGACAGCTTGGTGCCCAACACCTAAGGCTGGACTCTTGCCCTGGCTACCAGGGGCAGTGCAGCTTTCAGAATTTACACATAGAAGTTAGCAACCTGTGTTATGATTTTTTTTGTACTAGTTGATGGCTGAATAAGGACAGTACTCTAAAAAGCCTGAATTCAGAGTTGCTTGAATAGTACGCAGAAATCAGTTGCTTTAGTGACAGAGGCAAAAGACCACATTATTGGATTTCCTAGCCCTAACCTAATGATATTGAGCATCTTGATGGCAACAGGAATTGAAAGCACTTGGTACATTACTGGCGCAAGGAAGAACTAGCCTTCGCTAAGCTAAAATATGTACAGCCTCCTCTTATAAATAAACTGGAAACTGCAGGGACTAGGCAAGGTAGTATGGTCTGATGTTGCACTTCATGTTCAAAACAGCATGTGCAGGGGCCAAAAATGTCACATGCTCTGTCACTCCCCCTCCCCTGACCAATCAGGGTCTGTGGGTGGGGGGGCAAGCAAAGTCTCCTATCCCCTAGGGGGAACAGCTCCACTTCTGCCCAAGGCCCTGCTCCTTCCAGGGCAGCCAGTGACCACTTCCAAAATTCATGAAGTGCTCCCCCCCTTCAAAAATTATTGCCCGCCCCTGCTCTATGACCTTAAACAAATCACTTACTCTTGCCATATTTCACTTTATAGCAACTATGAAATGTTTTGGGCTCACAAGCATGAGGCAACAGTAAATTAATGAATGGTTGCAAAGCACTGAGGTCTAGATTCACATGGGGGATTTAAGTAACCAATAGGGCAATTAAATGGCTACGTCAAACATTGGACACCACTGATATTCACAAAACCTCATGCCTACCCCTGTAGGTATCTGTTTGTACTGGTGGGTATGTGCAAATCCAGGACAGTGGAATTCACACAATTCGATGTGTCCCTTACACGCCTTTTCCTGATTTCTTCTAGTGAATCTAGCTCTGTGTTCTGTGGAGGGGAAGTTTGAAGGAAAGAATGAATTATTCCGCATTTTTGTTCAGATCTTAATTTTAATGTAATCTCTTAACATATTTCTGCTACATGTAGTACCACTTGTGTGTTCAGTGCTTTGCAGAATGGTATCCAGAAAAAGTCCTTAATTATACAACTGTGTATAAAAGAACTACAGAAAAAATTTACCTTTCCCCCCTCTCTTACATAGGAGAGAAAATGCTGCAGTCTGGAAAGTGGTGTTTGGTATAAACAATCTGGATCATCCATCTATCTTCATGCAGACCCGACTGGTGAAGACTATTATCTTGCATCCACGCTATAACAGAGCAGTAGTTGACTATGATATCAGCATTGTAGAACTAAATGAAGATATCAATGAGACAAGTTATGTAAGGCCAGTCTGCTTACCAAGCAGGGAGCAGTTGGTTGAGCCAGATACCTACTGCTACATCACAGGCTGGGGACACATGGGCAACAAAAGTAAGATGAATGTTTTCCAGATTCTTGGAGGAATCTAACCTTCTACTAACACAATCAACTAGTTGGCTCTAGTTGCACACAGTGGTGTCTACCTCTAGTTTTACAATTGTGTCTTATTAGGCCTCTCATACATAATCCATACTAATAATAATACTCACAAGGCTATACTTGTGTCTAGAACTTAGCTTGTAAAAGATGGGAACCTAAAATTAGGTTGCTAAATCCATATTTCAGCAATGATATATGTAATGTGATTAAGAGTATTTCACATCAAGGAGCTTCTATTAAGGAAATAGCCTGAAAATCTTGGCTATAGTCTTGTTATTCAAGTCTTGGCTTATTGCTTGACTACACAAGATTTTTCTTTATCAGAACTCTCCATAACATGCTGTGGCCTTGTGCCACTATTTATTCCACCTCCTCCATAATCCCAGGGTGCCTCTTTTCTGCACAGAAAGGTTTTGCCTTGTTCTTGTTAACTGTCCCATAACACTAGTTTTTACTTTATATAGCTACCAATATGAAAATTAACTGACACAGAGCATAAGGAAAAATGTGATGGTGGCCCTGGCTGTTAAGTCTGTTCTGCTTAGTGTGGTAGTTATGTAGAAATATTTCTTTATTTATTGTAATAGTTAGCAGGGGCAGGAGGTAAACCCTGAACTATGGAGAATACAAACATTACATTGAACGGTATTCAGGTTCTAATGGCCATGTTAAACATGGTAACACTGCTCAAACCATTCCTTTTATAACAGTCATATTCTACAGTCCACAACAATGAATTAAATGCCACTGACTGGTGTAATCTGTTTGCTAACAACACATCCGTTCCGTTCACATACAGCCAGTCTGTCTAAGGTAGCAGACCCAATGACACACAGGTGATTCTTCATACCATTTTTTGTTGTTGCTGGCCAAAGCTGTCAATGCCATCACTTTCAAGTTAGTGATGCAAGAAATAGTGACTATGAAATGTTAAGGGAGATTAGAAAGGCTATCAAAAAAAATCTCAATAATAGTGGAGGATTTCAACTATCCTCATATTGAATGGGTACATGTCACCTCAGGATGGGATGCAGAGATGGAATGTATTGATACCTTAAATGACTGCTTCTTGGAGCAGCTGGTTCTGGAACCCACAAGGGGGAGAGGCAGTTCTTGATTTAGTCCTAAATGGAGTGCAGGCTCTGGTCCAAGAGGTAAATATAATTGGATCGCTTACAAATAGTGACCATAATGTAATAAAATGTAATGTCCCTGTGGTAGGAAAAAGACCTCAGCAGCCCAACACTCTGGCATTTAATTTCAGAAAGGGGAACTATACAAAAATGAGGTTGAACAGAAAGAAAAGGGTACAGTGACAAAAAGTAAAATCCCTGACAGTTGCATGGACACTTTTCAAAGGCCCAACTTAAATGTATACCCCAAATTAAAAAACACAGTAAGAGAACCAAAAAAAGTGCCATCGTGGCTTAACAACCAAGTAAAAGCAGTGAGATAAAAAAGCATTGTTTAAAAAGTGGAAGTTAAATCCTATTGAGGAAAATAGAAAAGAGCATAATAAACTCTTTCAAATTAAATGTAAAAATATAAGAAAAGCCAAAAAGTATCAGCCCGAATCCCTGCTGGGACTGCCACGCACAGGGGCTGGTGCTGGCTAGGCAGGCAGCCCAGCTCATACTGGATGCAAGACAAAACCCCTCCTCGTTTCTGCAATTTAAAAGGCTGTATAAGCCGGGCAGCCTGCCCACCTGGCTCCTACTATGTTTTAAATACAGAACCACAGTGGGGTTTGGTCCTACACCCAGCGTGAGCCAGAACTGAACCAGGCTGCCTATTGACTGAGTAGTCAAAAATTCTATCTACTACTTGACTAGTTAAATATCCACTTCTTAATATCCCTATTTCAAGCATTGGTCAGTATTGTAAAACAAAGGTGTTCATCTTGATTGCATAGTGATTTGTATTCTGGGTTTAACAATTCCCTTCACCTTTGAGTTTTGACAGAAATTTACAGCTGGGAATAAGCCTCTTTGGAACAGGATGAATGGTGCAACAGGTCTTGCTCTTCCCTGGTATGCTCGTAGGCTGTGTCTACATTGGCAAGATTCTGTGCAAAAGCGGCCACTTTTGCGCAAAAGCATCCGTGCCAGTGTAGACACTCTCTTGCGCAAGAAAGCCCGATGGCTAAAATGGCCATTGGAGCTTTCTTGCGCAAGAGAGTGTCTACACTGGCACGGATGCTTTTGCGCAAAAGCATCCGTGCCAGTGTAGACACTCTCTTGCGCAAGAAAGCCCGATGGCTAAAATGGCCATTGGAGCTTTCTTGCGCAAGAGAGTGTCTACACTGGCACGGATGCTTTTGCGGAAAAGCACATGCCAGTGTAGATGCTCTCTTGCGCAAATACTTTTAATGGAAAAACTCTTCCTTTAAAAGTATTTACACAAAATCTTTCCAGTGTAGACGTAGCCGTAGTGTGTGGTGGGCTAGCCTTGCCATGAACTAAATACTTATGTAGACAAACCCTTAAAGTGACTGTGGATCATATGAAGCAAAATGCAGAACTATGTAGTACATAGTTCTGCATTTTGCTTCAGCTACACCAGACTAACCCGGCTACATTTCTATTACTATTCTACGTGGATCATATGGCTACTCATTAAAAGTTTCCTTGTGCACTTTGAGTCACTCCTATGTCAAAGTGCACGAGGGAACTTTTAGCATGCAGGAGCAGGGTGAACGGAGACAGTGCGTGCAAACTAGGTTCACACCCCTGCTTGCCATGAACTAAGGCTTCATGCAGTCACTGCCCCCTACCCATCAAAATCCCTAGAGTAACTCAGTCAGCTTCGAAGAGCTTATTACACCAAATTGGAGGTTGACAGTGTTGTTGTGGAACCTGTCTTCTGAGTCACAAGCATATGCTCCCTAATTATGTTTTCTCTTCAACTCCAATTTCAAAAGTCTCATTGCATGTTGGCTCTCTCCCCAGTTTGCCAAATCTAAGCCTAATTGATGTGAAGGCACAATATAAAATGCTCACACGCATACCAGCATGAAAGATGAGCCCATCCCCACTCATATACCATTGTCCTATGAGCTTGAGAAGCATGAATCCCTGTGTGCAGGTATACATGAAACTGTCCCCTTCTGTGTGGTCTGTACTGGTGAGAGAAGTGGAAAATCAGTTTTTTTATATTAAATATACATTCAAAGTTAATTTTATCATACTGTTAAGTTTAGCCTACCATAGTAGAAAATAATGTTGCAAAGTTGAACATAAGTATTTCTGTTTGATAGTGCATACTTTGATACAGATTATTTTTTTCAGTGCCTTTTAAACTTCAAGAAGGAGAAGTTCGTATTATTTCCCTTGAGCAATGCCAGTCATACTTTGACATGAAAACCATCACCAACAGGATGTTATGTGCAGGCTATGAGTCTGGAACAGTGGACTCTTGCATGGTAGGTCATTATCTGGGTAGAAATTTGAAGCAGATTTTAAATAAGAACCTATGGTATTTCAATAGGCATTGGAGGTTAGTTCTAATACAGAGGTAACAATTTTCATAGACTTATGTAGGAAATAAACATTTTAACCAACTATTTATTTCTATTTGTAAAATACACTGCTTGGAGTCTCTAAATAGTAGAGTATGCTAAATAGTAAGCTGATTTTTCTTTAATTTGTGTGAATATTAAATAGCTAATGTTTTGTATGAACATACCAGCCACCCAAACCTTATTATTTGACAGTCAAAATATTACCTGCATAATCTGCATGCTGTTGTACAGGTTAGCTGAAACCTATTTTTACAGCTGCATTAGTCATAAAAAGCCAATTTCCTAGAAACTTCAGATGTGTCTTGAGCCATAATGGCACTGGCTATAACCTCCATGGGTTGTTTTTTCCTCCCATTACAGGGCGACAGTGGAGGACCATTAGTTTGTGAGCAGCCTGCAGGACGCTGGACATTGTTTGGTTTAACCTCATGGGGCTCAGTCTGCTTTTCCAAAGTTTTGGGGCCTGGAGTTTATAGCAACGTGTCACACTTCATTGAATGGATTGAAAGACAAATATACATCCACACTTTTCTATTAAACTAATGCCAGAAGGTTAGCATTGTGCTGAGATACGAGGGGCAAAGATCATTGGCATTTAAGCCTTGAAGATTGTGCAATCAAGAAATTAAAGAGAAAGTTACAAGTTCAGTATTGTTGATGAAGAGGTATGGAAAATGCAGCATCAGTGAATTGACTAAACACTCTGCCACTGAAGATGCTGTAAGGCAGGACTAATAATTTTTGTAATCCTTTTCGATTTTCCTTTAGCTGTGTTACCATTCCAGGCACAATAAAGGTAGAACCAGCCAATTTTCTGCCTTTCAGACATTTAAATGAAGCTGTAGCACACACTTAGTAAAAACGATAAATGTTTTAGGGGAAAATGAACAGTAGTAGTAGTAGTATAGTTTTAGCCCACAATTCTTTCAGTGAACAATAGAATCAATACATTCTTAAAGATGACACTGAGGTCTGTACTAAAATGAGCCCTTTTGCTACCTCAAGTTTGCTCCCATGTTAGCAAAGCAGGGCTTTATAAAAAAAATACAACAGGCGTGAGAGACTATGTAGTTCTTTGAGACAAGTGATAAGTGGATTTCTGGACACTGTCACAGTACAATTAAGTCACATAGTTCAGACTACTGTAAACTGAAACATTTACCTCTGAAGTTCAGTATCTTCAGTTTTGATGAATCTAATGAAAGGTATAGAAATATTCACTGTCTTCTTATATATTAATAGGATTATGGATTTTTAAACTACTTTTAAGTCATTGTTGTATTACAGTTTCACTATGAGGAAAGAAAGCCCAGTGACTTGACAGTATGTTTCATTTGATATTATGGGTTTAGGGGACAGCAAAATATGAAAATAACTCTCCCCTGACCTCCAAGTAATACAGCTTTATCCAAATTTCTTCAATTCAGGGCTTCATCTGACTTGTGCAAAAAGAGAGAGGCTGTCAACATTCTAATCTTGAATGCTAAAAGGTATAGAATTTACAATTTCCAATTGTCCATGCTCTGTCTTTCTTAATAGGACCAGCTCCTCCACTGGTGGTCATTCAGCTCCTCTCTTTTATTAAAGTTGTCAGCGTCACAGGGTTATTTTTTTTTTCAGAAAAAAAAATTGAAAAATTTCATTAAATGAATAGCCTGTCCTGACTTCTCTGTTCACCAAAAATATAATTAAAGTTGGCTTTGATTTTATTGTAAAGCACTGGAACACTTACAGCCCTTCTAATATATATGTAAGCACTGCCAAAAGATAATATTTAAGGTAATTTCCTATTTTCTCATTGAGTATATGGGTCTTGGCCTGCCACCAGCTTTCAAGCAACACTCCCCAGTAACATAAATGAGTTCTGCTTAAAATCTGATGGCACCATGTAACCCATTGAATCGTATTACCTTTGTTAGGAAATTGTGTCCCAAGTGGTGTTAGAAAAGTTTTTTCAAAATTATTTCTGCTGCAACATTCCATGTAAAGATATTTGTAATTTTATAAATGTATTTTTATACTGCTTTTCCCTTTCTATGTGCACATGAAAATACTCTATCTAGGTTTTAAAGAATCAAACTTACTTCCCCTTTCTGTATATTGTCATATCTATGACAATCAGAAATATCTAACAAGCTTATCCCCATTTTAAGGTGATAAACACACATTTATTGCTTCACTCCTGTCAACTATTGTGCCACATGGAATTAACATTGCACCAACTAGACAACTGTGTTTATTTCTACTCCTGTTAAACAAGTATGTATAACATTTCTCCAATAATTTCTGTGATTCAAAATAAACATGTTTTTATTCTTGCCAGAGACTCACTCAGTTCAGTTAAAGGCAAGGCTGTTCTTTTACTCTCTTGTGATCCTGTGTTTCAAATAGCACTGAAGTCACATTGACACACATGCGCCAACCCGTTAACCCCATCACTGCTAGCCATTTCTTAGCACAGAATTGATTCATGTTTTGTCTCTACAACTTCAGTGTGGTAGCTACCCATATTTCTCCTGGGTATTACCAATACAGAATATTAATAGGAGGATTAAGTGTGACTGCCGACAATTATTTTGGATTAAATTAAATTTTTGTAGTGAGAAATTTTAAAAATCCACTTAGGGCATGTCTATATAGCAGGGAAAAAGTTGAATTAAGCTATGCAACTTCAGCTACATGAATTGCGTAGTTTAAGTCAAAATAGCTTGGTTTTTGGCGCCATCCACGCAGCAGGAAGTTGAAGGAAGAGCACAATTCCTTCAACTTCCCTTACTCCTGGTAAAATGAGGGTTACAGGAGTCAGGGTAAGAAGTCCTCCGGCTCACCTTTATTTTGAAATAATGGCTTGCTGTGTAGATATCTTTATGATTTTGGGCCTCATCCTCCTTGATTGGATCCACCTTGTCATCTCCAGCCTGATCCTGGCCTGCATATTTATACCTGCCTCTGGAAATTTCCACTACATGCATCTGACGAAGTGGGTCTTTGCCCACGAAAGCTTATGCTCCTACACTTCAGTTAGTCTAGAAGGGGCCACAGGACTCCTCGTCGCTTTTGTAGGGATCATTTACACAAAAGTCTTTTTAAAAGCCACTAAACTGTGTAAATGCAATGTTCTAGACCTGGTCTGAACTTAAAGTTAGGCTGACTTTCTGGGGTGCGGAAAATTCTCTCTCACTCACACACACACACACACACACAGACAGCTGAGTCAGAGAAATAATTCTTCTGTCAACCTGGCTAGGGCTGCTTTAAGAGATTAATTAAGATTGATGGAAAAAACCCTTCTGTAGCTGCTCCAAGTAATGATGCTACAGTGTCCTAGCTGTACATAGTGTAAATTGGATGTGTGTGGATGCGGTTTTATACCAGTTCAAAAGTAATATAACTTATTCCTCTATGCCAATAAGCATCTTTACGTAGATATAACTATTCTGTTAGTTTTTGTACCTTTATAGCTAAAGAGACACAACACTGTATAAACCAGGTCTTTGTTTGCTAAAACTATGGCTCCAGCTTTATGAAGAAGTTTGGAAAGTCAGAACTATCTTGGCTTTTAGAAGGGAGTTTTTTTTTTTAAATTCCTAATTAGAGGTATTAATTCTAGAAAAACTGAAGTACAGCTTTTCTGAAATCCTTTTGCAGAGCTATTCAGTAGATTTAGTTACATATAGCAGTACTAATCTGTTCTTCCCTTATATTTACCTGTGACATTAAATACCTTTCCCAGACCTGATGAAAAGCTTTGTGCAAGCACCAAAAGTAAATGGTCCAATAAAAGATGTTACCTCACTCACCTGGTTTGTGTAACATCCTGGGACTAACATGCCTACAAAACACCAAACAAAAAACACTGAATGATCACAACACATGGTGACCTGAATTTTTATGGACTTACTATGCCTTTAACTACCAGTTCAACCAATCCTCACAGCATTTGTTTAAATTGTTTCAGAAGTCTTAAAAAGATGAGGAATAACAATGTTAAGCTACCCAAGGAAGTCACAGTTTTGGCAAGCCATGGTGCTTGGGAAGGGGGATTTATCTTAGACTGCATCTTCATTAACGATTATCTGTTTCTATCACCAGGGTCACTACAACAGAAGGAACTTTCCTAACCAACACTAATGAGAAGATGATTAGTCAATCGGTAGGTAGAAAGGTAGGACTTATTTATCCCCATAATCACAGGCTATATCTACACTATAAGTTTTCTCAGCAAAAAATATGCTAATGAAGGACTAATTTGCATGAGTCATCATAATTTGCATATTTTCTGCTGATCTGTTTTTGCGCTGGGATTTTTGTGCAAAAACAAGCAGTGTGGATGCTTTCTTTTTGCACAAAAACCTCTTTTTCCACAAGACTGGTAAACCTCCTCTTTGGGGCATAAGGATCTTGCGGAAAAAGTAGGGTTTTGCGCAAAAAGAAAACATTACCTGCTTGTTTTTGCACAAAAACCCCAGCGCAAAACCGGATTGGCAGACAATATGCAAATGAATCCCCTCATTCGCACATTTTTTGCTGCGAAAACTTATAGTGTAGATGTAGCCTAAGAGACGAACAAAACCAAAACAAAACATAGCAAATAGGAATTATTGACATAACCTCGCCCACAACAGACATTCAGAAAGCAACTTAGCCCTGCTTGTGCCAAGCAGCTCCAGACAGACATTAGAATATCCAGCTCCTTTTCTTTTAGTTGCACTGAAAGAGTGAGAGCTGATAGGATATCGAATGGTTTTTTTTTTTTTTTTTTTCCTAAAATGGACTTTGAACACAGGCAATGTGTTCTGTAAGTCTTGCTGGCATGTGGGTGTAAAACTATCACACAAATATTGCCATCACAAAGAGAATGATTAGGATAAAAAATGTTTTGCAAAGTGGTTCCTAAAGAGCACAGTGGACCTTGTCAGCACTAGTTGTCATGGTAACATCGCCACAGATGAGACCATTGTAACACTGGATGGGGGTCAGGATGACAGTCAGGGTCAACTGGTAAAAGTGTTTCCACCAGGACAGCCTTTAAATTACATTACTGTCATTTTTATCAAAGTTTCTATGTTATGCAGTTATGTACCAGAAAAGCTTAGTTCTTAAAGCTGATATTTGCAAAATGCTTCATGCCCATTTAGACCTGGACACTTTGAGTTATTTAAAATATTTAAAAAATACAAAATGCTTCTGAATAATTTTGCACATCAACTGACTGACAAAAAATCACTACCAACAAAGTCCTAAACGTAATGTAATGCACTGATTTTTTTTTTTTAAACAAAACAGTTAACATTCTGCCTTTGCAGCGTATGTTAAAACATCCTGTTCACTCAAAGCACATTTCAAACCTGCCTTATTTAGTAGAGGAATTTCACTGTGGCCCTTAGCAAAAGTAAACTCCGGAAGGCCGGATGATATTTCTGAACAGGTTTCCTCCAAGGAGTTCAAAAATGCAGTTCTCTCATAAGTCTGGCTGTTTGCATCCCTGGACTCATCCTGTATGTCTGATACAAAAGACCTCTCTTGAACTGACCTGCCTGGTGGACAGGTAGGAAAGGGTGTCTTAGCCGCTGGGATGTATAAAGAATGGTCAGCGCTTTCTCGTACTGATGCATCTTCAGCAGACTTGGAACATGTACAAGTGTCCTGGAAGCCCATGCTACACTTCCCAATACGATCCTCTTTCCACTTTTTAATTGCTTCCCTCTGCTCCTTGGGCGTCAGTCTGTCAAGGTGCTTGGCTCTCAACATGGGAGATGGAAACAATGCCCCTTGAAGAACTCTGAACAAATACCTGGAATATAAACAGGGATTTCCATTAAGCCATTCCGAAACAGATTCCTGCTCTTCTCAGCAATGCTAAAGGGTCTACTGAACAGAAGCAGGCAGAGAAATGAGAGGTGGCATCACTCCTATCACCCAGGCTGCCTTGTAATCCAAAAGCTGCAGTAGCCCTTACAGGAGTGACCTTTAAGCTTGCACATAAGTAACTGTACCTGCAGTTTTACACTAGAACAGGTTATTTGAACCAACATTTTAAAAAAAAAGTCACCACTGATTTCTGTGCCTCCATTTTTGCGTGTTGGACACAACACTGACATTCAGGAACAGTGTGTACTGGCACTCCAGCTGAAGTAAGTGGGAACTGTAGGCTCCTGCATGTTTCCAAACAAATACAGTCTGTTCTGGCAGTGCTGCTCAAACTTTTCTGGCACTGGAATATTGAAAGTCACTCAAAGAATCTTATTTATAAAGTCTAAAAACTTTGCATTTAGTCTACCGTGAAAAATCAGCCACTCCTAAAACCAGAAAACATTGTGTTTCAAACATTGTGATTTAAAATAGTATCCTTCTACCATGGTTCATTATTGCTCCAGGAAAAAAAAAAGGTCACTGTGGGCATTGTTTTTAAATTAATTCAGGAGGGAAAGCAAATGGTTAGCAGCACCATTTGGAGCCAAGCACAGTACAGAAGAGAGTATGTGAGCTTTCCTGACTGTAGCCCAGACCTACAGTTTGCTGGTTTTTAGGTGCAAGGTCTGAGCCAAGGTTGACAATGAAGTAATGTGTTTTTACCTTAATGCAAAAATGTGCATCCTATGAACGCTGTGCCCCATCCCACCATTTGGAGAGACAAGTTGCATATCCCCAGCAATAATCTCCTAATAACTCTTAGGAATCCAGAGAGATATTTATGAACATTTTGTCTGTTTACAAAAATCCTGGTTTCAAGCTTTTTCAAAACAAAGAAGAAAACAATGGAAAACTGTTTCTGTAATAAAAACAGACTCATAAATAACTTCTCTATTGCATGTGAATGATTCACTCTGCTGCCTTCTATAACTTCTTTGGATATAAATTCTGACCTTTGAAAAACGGTTAAGGTACAGTTATTGGTTTAAACACAAGAAGCAAGATTTAGACTAAATCATTATAGCAATTATGTACTTGTTTAAATTTAACTGAAGAAGACCCTTATTAACAATTCCTTACTTACATATGGGTTTATTTATGCTTACAATGCAAGGCTGTACAATTTTATATCTTCAAGTAGAAAAGACCAACTAGAGAGATGTATAGCATCATAGCTTCAATGAAAACCAGAGCTGGTCAATAGTGGTTGTAAAACAACAAAGTACCTGGGTAGAAGAGCAACACAAGTAGTAATGATGCAAACTAGATAAAACACCGGGTCTGTCACATGTTTTTCCATGATCCAGTAGGGATTTGATGGTGGATTGCAGGTTTTGCAGGTTGCTCCAAAAGTCAGTGCAAAGACAAAGTAAAATAAGATGCTGCCTATCATAACAATGATGTGTATCCAAGTCTGTAATGTGGAAAGGAAGTACAGGAGAAATAAGACAGGAATCAGAGACTCCGTATTAAAGTTGTTACAAACAGTATAAATATTCTTTTATATACTTTTATATATGTGAATGTGCACACACACATTCACACCCCACCTTGAACTGAAGTAAATAATAAATTAGTTCAAACAGACTCTTGATTTAAACTTATTTTTGTCTATTAAATATACAACTCATGATACGATAATACAAGACTATTTAATGCCAATTGCTTTAGATAACTGCATTACTCATAAGCATCAGAAAAGGCCTTCTCAAAAAAGCAGAAACACAAACTTCACATGATCCTCCCCTTTACAGTTTGCTTTGAGACAAGTACACAGTTATTCTGTTTAGATTCTGTTTTGTTGTGCAATTTGTCTAACAGCTTGCTGACCTCTCTAAATGCCAAAAAAGTTCATTTTGCCATTCAGAGAACAGAAACATTAAGAGCATCCGTAGTTTGCTAATAAAGGGATTTTTGCACTCTCCAAATCCTACATAAAAAGGCATGGGTTACATACAAAATCTTTAAGCAACAAGGCTATGTCTACACTGGTGCGTTCTCACGCAAAAACTCTTTTGCAGAAGAGTTCTTCTGCAAAAACTCTTCCAGAAGAGAGCGTCTACACTGGCATGTGCTTTTGTGCAAGAGATGTGCTTTTGCGCAAAAGCATCCATGCCAGTGTAGACGCTCTCTTGCGCAAGAAAGCTCCGATGGCCATTTTAACCATAGGGCTTTCTTGCGCAAGGAATTCGTGTTGCCTTTGTCTACACTGGCCTTTTCTGGAAGAACTCTTGTGCAAGAGGGCTTATGCTGGAGCGGGAGCATCAGAGTTCTGGAGCAAGAAGCCCTGATTTTATATATTAGAACGTCAGTTTACTTACGCAAGAACACACGGGCAGTGTAAACAGGCAGTAAGTTTTTGCGCAAGAGCAGCCGCTTTTGCGGGAGATCGTGCCAGTGTAGACACAGCCCAAGACTTTAGAAAGCAGCCTAATAGCCTATTGCCTGTGAAACAACTTAAGAATGAGCCTGTGTCTTTGTTTTCTGCACTGAGTAAGCCACACTATTCTTTATCCTCCCACTTTGAACAGGACAATGACATTTTTCTCCAGAATTAGGACAAACAGGAAAAAGTCACAATTTTACCCTGGCTTGTTTAAAAATAAATTAATCCAATCAAATGGGAATGCTATCAATTGTTGCTCTAGATTGTTCAGACTTAAACACCTGAATGACAGTTTAATGGCATAAAACAGCTCCTTCTCTTCTGGCAAGGAAGATACCTTTGAATTGTTCATCTTGTTTACAAACAGTTTATCAGTTCCCAGCATCCAGAATTAGCATTCCACATTTGGGAAATCAAGCCTTAGGAACTGATAAAAGTAGGATATATCAATTCTGTTTTCCCCTTGGCAAAACTATACTTACAGAAAGCAACATAAGCTGTTAAGAGCAGAATTCTTTTGTTATTGATTAACATTATTGGTGGCAGATCTTGCTGGCCTTCTTCATGTGAGTAATCTGGCTGACTCCAAGGAGACTAGTGCTAGAAATACTGCTTAAAATGACCTGCATTTGATCCTTAATATATTTTTTGCTTTCATATAGGGAGAGATTTCTTCCATTTTTTAACTCTAATTAAGAGTTGTATGAACACACTAGGGAGAGAATGTACTCTTTAGAATGCATAAAAAAACCACACTTACCAAAGTTTTACTCTCAATTAGGAGATGCAGTAATATTATGAAGAGTGCTGCTGTGTTTAATGGGTTTCCAAAAGAAAAGATGTCTATGTCAGAGCCATGATATGTCTGCAAAGTAAGATACATACTAATTGATATGTTCTCTGCATATACCCCTAATATTTTGATATTCACACTCACAGGGATATAAACAGCAGCAATACTGGATTTACAAAACAGGCCCCATAATCATCCTGAATTTTAAGAAGAGTATGAGAAAATTCAACCAAAACCCCTTTGGTTTAAAAACATACCAGTAGAGAAAATGACAAGTGTATTAATACAATTCAAATCTAGTACTTACAAAGTAAGGCACAAAAAAGCAAACCAGACTTTGGTAAAAAGCATCCAGCAAGGTGATCCAGAAAGTTGGAGGTGAATATGCCTAAAGAGGAAATACAGCCTCAGTGACATGAAAAAATCCCAGCAGTCTCAGCTGTAATTCATTTCTGACTCTGGGAAAATTACATTACTATCATCATACAGAATCTTGTTTGCTCAAGCATTTGCAGCTTTACTTACTGCATTTTAAATACTATTTTCAGACGATACAGAAGTGAGCCCCTCCAGAGCCTGCAAACCCCAAGCTCCTAATTAATATCCCACATGAAGGGTCATGTGTAAACACTGGACAAAAAGGGGACATTTACTGGTTGTCTACATGGGGAAACAGGCTAAAATAGCCTTTGCAGAACAGCTTATTTTAGTCAATTTTCTCATGTAGACAAGCCCTTAGTGAGTTGATCAAGGTAAAAATGAGAACACTCACTGTAGGCTTTCAACTAATAACCAGAGATTAAACCAAGAATCAGATGTGGACTTGGGTCTTGCAGCATGTTCTGCTTAGCACTTCCCTAGAACCATGCAGAATCCCATTATCTTAGGGAGATGTCTCTTGGCATAAGGAACCAGAGTTTTTAAACTGCTTGGATAAGAAACTGTCTTCTGCATTTGTACAGGGCTGAAAAGATCTGTCTCTTGGAGAATGTAAGCTTCAGCATGCACCACATTAAAAAAAAAATCAATCCATCACTACAGATTATTATATAAAGCATTTCCACTTGCTTTTGTGTCATGCCTTTCATCCTGTTTTTATGTCATCGCCTGACTCGATAGCAAGACAAAGGGAGATGATATTTAACAATGGCTTTAAGAGAGACAGCAAGGCAAAACGATATAAAACAGGACAAAAAGCTGCCCAAAGTTTTGTTAAAAAGCCATTGTGTAAAACAGTAACATTTACCCCTGTGCTAGGCTGAAGGGAAGAGGAATGTTTGGAGGTAATGGGGAAAAGGTGGAAAGATGCATCATCTCAGAGTGAGGAAGCCAAGATATGGGGGCAAATGTATGAGATGTATTTAATCAAAACTGTGACTTGCAAGGCCCAGGCCCCAACCACCCCCCAGCCACAGTCTGCATGTAGAGGCTTGACAAGCACCTTATTTTGATAGCTTGAAAACTTTAGTACTTTACTTTATGAACCAAGTGATACAAAATAGTAAAAGTTAAAGTGAAGAAATGTGTGTGTGGGGAGGGGAGAGATGCACATTACCTACAACACCAACTTATATTAACTAAGTCCCCTACCACATTCCCTCACTTCTTTCCCCTTCTAAAGAAGCACTGGCTTCAGCAAGGATCTACAGCTGATGTTATGTCACCAGCATGCTGCAAGCTCGTGCATCTTTTAGACCAGGAGCCATTACTCCAGTGATGTCTGCTGTTGAGAGACCTAAGATGGTTGGGAAATGGTGAGTTTTAAGCTAACAGTATGTTGAATGCCCCTCTACACCTGCAATTTCTATTGTACCGGCATAAGTTGCTAGAATATAGTTCTTTACTTCCCTCAACACTCATCTAAGTGAAAATGTTGCTACAACTCATGCTGAGCAAAGCAGAATTAGGGAAAGGCTGACTGAGTTGCCTTGTTTTAAGTTAAACACAATCTGTAAAAAGATTAATGTGATTTGCTGATTTTAAACATTTTATGAAAAGTTTCCCTGCTTCATTACAGGCAGACATGAAGTGTAATGTATACAGAGGGAGCTGCAAGAGGGAGGAACCAGTGAAGTCCAGGACAACAGGCAAAAGGGAGGAAAGGAGCCCAGAATGATGAGATTTTGTTGAAGATGGTCCCACAAGGTACAGTATATTCTACTCTGTTCAGGTTCTTATGCTATGTTCATCATCACTATGGTAGCTGAGTCAATTACACTCAAGGATGAGTACCTTAGTTTCTAGGGAGCTTGTAGGCAGCTTGTTTCAACCATTGTGAACTCTGCATTAGAAAATACAGAACATAATGGTAACAGAATATTCATCTAGCTCACAGCCTCAGCCAGAGCTCTCCCTTCTCCTCCTCCCTACCCACCCCACAAGGCAGCAAGGGACTTGCCTAAAGAGCTCTGAAAAATAGCTTAAGGTTGCATTAAGACAGGAGAAGTGTTTTCACTGACAAGGAGCACAGAGCAAAGAAAAAAAATGAAACCAGTTTTGAGTGTCTCCGCCTGACTCAGGTCAACAATTCTTTAACACACCTCAGATGTCTGACCAGTCACATAAAGCTCAGGGAGCTGCATGAGGATCTCTGCAGAAATATCTTTGTCCAGAATGCCATAAATGATGGGCGGCACCGAAGTGAAGAGGAGGTTGAAGAAAATCAAAACCCAATAGTCAGTCATGGATGTTCCCGAAAACCCACAAAAGAACTGGTACCAGAAGAGGAGATTTACATAGGCCTGGCAGTTCAAAGACAAAAGAACAAACAAAAGCCCATAGCTGAGCATTATGCAAGCTCAGGAAAAAAAGGAGAGATCTTATCTCTGAATTGTTATGGGAGGTCTGCAGGGAATGAAACACACACTTGCTTTCCAAACAAATATGTCCCAACTCTGCAGTTAAAATATAATTTTACTAGTAAACCGAGTATTTCAAAACTCAGCGTCCAGCTGTATAACTCATTTCAATATTCCCCTTGTTACCACCTCACAAGAATGCCTGCAGATTGCTTTTTTTAATAAAACAAAGTTTAAGTGATTTCAATTTGGAGCAGTGAACTCAAATCAAGGCAGATGGACAGGCTCAGCTCACTACCAATACAGCTTGAAAGTTGAGCCCCTTAACTTTTGACCCGAGTACCTAACTATTTTGCATTTATTCTACTGCCTCCATCTCCAAAAGCCACAAGGCAAACCAAGCAACTGCAGATAACCAAATTGCAACCTTTCACACTAAGAACCTTTGCCCTGATGCACTGTAGCTACCTACCACATTCTTGTAGAAAAAATACAGGATCATGTTGGCCAGCCTGGTGTAGCACCAGTGACCATGGACAAGCAGCAGCTTGCTGAGGTGCTTGAATTGGGAAACAGCAAAGTCACTCGCCATCACAGCCTGAAACACACACAACGGAAGAGTTGTGACACCTGAACAGTTAAAATACCAGAGGCGATGCACATCACATGTAGACTAATGAATGGTAGTGGGGCACTTATACTACATTACTCCTATTTATTGTTCATACTAATTAGAGTAGCAGCCAGCGCTGCATTTACCTCAAGGCTCCCTCGTGCGGGACACTGCACAAACACACACAACTCTAACATGTAAGAGGGCACAGGCTGAGCTCTGCCTTCATGTACATCCAAGCCAATTGCATGTGGGCTCCATGTGTTGGCCAGGAAGTGAACACCAGGGAGTCTGAGGAACAGGGAATTCAGTAACGAGCAGCAGGCTCCCTCGTCCAAGAGAGTGAGCCCCTGCAGCGCTCAGCCTCTGACTGCTCCTGTGAAAGCACTTAGGCTCAGGAGTAAGCTCAGAACACAAACTGGCCCCTTCTGTGGCAGTGTATTGTGTAGCCACTAAATCTCCAGGCTGAATCCTGATTATATTTCAAGCAGAGTCTGGTTTTATTTGCAGCTGTTTTCCGTCTCCACTACCTGCATGCCTTCTTGGCCAGAGAGTCCCACTCCAGTATCAGCCATTTGGATCATACTGACATCATTGGCACCATCACCTGGGGGATGCGGAAGGAGGAACAAGAAGATAATCTTAGTTGGAACACAACATGGAGGTAGCTCTGCTGGAGAAGGTATTCCACACACAGATGGTGAGAAGAGGCAAATCTATCAGAACATGGCCCAGAATACTAAAAGTTATTGTTCTAATCAATACTGAAAGCTATGGAATTTCCCCATGAACAAAAATGGGACACAGTGGATTTTACAGGACACTTTTGTCCAGTGCGTGTTTGTTACATTTTTCAGAAACTCACTGATATCCTGGGACAGTACAACTGCGATCTTTGTTAATTCTAGCACTACATGAAAGAGACTGAACCATTTCCTGTCTCTCCTCCAGTACATGGTGGGTTTCGCAACAGAAACTCCCCTCCCCCCAATGTGTCACTTTAAAAAATGAACTGACAAAAGTATAAGAGAAAGCATCTGTGTTACTGCTATTGCAAGCCTAGGAAAGGCTTGCCAGTATCTAAGTTTAGGGACCAAATTCACTGAGAGTACTGTATTGACTCCATGGAGTTATGTCAAGTTATATCAGAAGTGAATTTGGCTCTAAGTAGTTCATTCCTTTAATGGGAAAAACATAAAAGAGATGGCAACAAAAATATTAAAAATAGCACCTTTTCCAGAGAGAAGAGATAGCTGAGACTCACCTATGGCTAATGTCATCACTTTCAACCTGTTTCGCACCAGTTTGACCACTTCACTTTTCTGCAAGGGTGTTGCTCTGCAGCAGACCACAGCCCGGCATCTCTCTGTGAGCTCCAGGAAGATACTCTGCAGGCTCTCAAGCAGGACATATTCTAAAGTCTTTCCATCAACAACGAGGCTGGCACTGAACTCCGGGGCTTGGGTAGAGGGAGCTGGAAAGACGCTTGTGAGTTTTGAGCTGTGATTTTTTTTGGCATATGTACTTTTTTGAATGTCTTCTAAAATAGTGTTCATCAGCAACACACAGGCATCCTTGTGTAAGGCAAAGAGAAAGGATATATTAGGCTGATCTATCTTCCATCCTGGCTCCGTTTTCAATATGTAAAATACATATTGCACAGGTCAGATCTTGCATGAGTCATCAGCAGGACTTCATGCATGAGGAAGATGACCCAAACTGGATCTCCAACTCTATTGTTTTTTAAAATCATAGTTGGACAAAGTTTACTGTCTGTAGAAAAGGCCTGTTCACCCTTATTTAAGCAAATTGGCCCGGATTTTGTACTACTAGCTGGGAAAATAATAAAGTACATTAGAAAATATTTACTGGACTATACTGTGCATAATATCCATTAAGGATTCTGTAATATAAATCAGGCTTAGTTCTGAGTCTTGTGCTCTTTTAATTTGCTTAATTTGGAATGGATACCCAGGGATACCTTTCAAATGCAGGTTAAAACTTGGCTTGATCTGCAAACCTTCCAAAAGAATTTGCCTTGTACTCTTTTTTGCTTCTTTATAATCTTTTTGTAAAAGTTTTTGTCTATTTTTAATTTTACCTAGACATATCAACAGTCAGGTTCTGCCTACCCTAGTTTTGTTGAAGGACCCTAGAGCCTGTTTATTGTTGCATTTAAACTCTTACCCAAATGAGCTAGTGTTGCATCTCTAATAAAGGTACCATTTATTCAAATTAAGTAATTGTGGAAGGCAGATCAGTATTAGCAAAAATAACTATGTAACAGTCCTTACATGAATGACAAAAAATTCCCTTCCTTTTCAATCTATTTCTCCCAAAGATAACATGACCTGAATTTCTAAAGGAATAGCACAAGCAAAACACAGCCTCACCACTTTCAAACATTCTCTAAAAATCATAAAGAACAAAATGTTGACACATGCCCAGTCCTGCGCCTCCCTCCTCCCCACACACACATACATGTAGTGGTTTAAAAAAGAAGACGTAGGTAAACCAAACTTTAACTAAACTCCGTATTTCCCAAATGAGAAATAGGTAAGCTTTGTGTATCCATGTTTACTCCCAACTACAGTACTATTTTTGTAGGTCACCCAGGCTACATCTACATGGCACAGTTTTTTCAGAATAAGCTGTTGCAAAATAACTATTCAAATAGCATGTCTACACTGCAGGGAAACCTCATAATTAATCTGAGACCGGCTTCCCTAATGTAGACATGCTATCTCAATTTAGAGACCTGGGAGTAATAACTTAGAATGGCCCTGGTGATGGGCTATATCGAAATAGCAGAAGTGGAGCATCCTAATAACAATTTTGGAACAGGTGTTATTCTTTGTAGAATGAGGTTTACAGAAGTCAGATTAAGCTGTCCGTTATTTCAAAATAATTTTGAAATAACAGAATTGCTGTGTAGACGCTTACATAGTTATTTCAGAATAATAGGCATTATTCTAAAATAACTTTGCTGTGTAGACACACCCTTAATCTGATCAATGGTGAGACATTTTTCCCTTTAAAATTCTATCTTAAATAGCTCAGAAAACAGAGCATCAAAATACTGTTACTTATAAACATCCAGCAGATGGCACAACTACCAAGCAGACTGAGTTTGACTCCCTCTGCAGCGTCATTTTTTAACAGTTTTATTTACTAAATGACTGAACAATTTTCAAAAGGAGAAGAAAAAAATTAAAGATTTTTCTCCATTAAAAATGTCTGTAGATTAATTATTTGGATCGCTGCATGTGATACTACTCCAATGAGATAATTCCTTGTGCTTTAATTCTAATGAAACAGACCTGAGGGAAGACGACAGAGCAGCCTGCGCTCATTGGTTAATCTTCACTGTTCTACGCAGACTCCCGGTACGTATAGGGAGCTGCCCTCTCCCACACGGCTGCTTCTGTATCAGACACCGCAGTTCAAGGGGGCAGGCAGGAGCTGGTGTAAGTGGGGAGTCGCTTTAAAAGCCAGCTTCGGAGCCACCTGATTCTCTCACCCCTCCACTGCGTGTAACCGTTGAAATATTCAGCTGTTACACATTTACTTGATTAAACACATTTTAACATCCCTAATAGAAACAGATTTCTATAAAACAAATGTTGTATTCTTTACACATATGGAGGGGGGGAAACAACTCTCAGATTTTCAGTATACAAAGGACATATTAGAAAACGCATAATTTTAAACAAAAACAAACAAACAACAAAAAAACCTAGCACTTGTAGTGTTGCCTGACCATCATTCCTGGTAAAATAAATTGCCCTCCGTATCACCCCACAAACAAACAATCTCATTTTCCACTTACTTTACTCTGTGATTTGAGGGTGAAGATTTTGTCATCTGGTTCCAATAACCTGCAAGCATAAGCTATATTGACAGCAGTCTCTTGTTTATCCCCTGTCAGCATCCAGATTTTGATTCCAGCTTTTCTCAGTGCTTCTATGGTGTCTGGAACACCATCCTGCAGGCGGTCTTCTATCCCAGTGGCACCTGTGATGAAAAGGACACGAGTTCGGTATCTAACCGAAACCTCCCTTACTGCAGACTAAACTAATTATGTTTTATCCTCCCTTCCGTGGATAGGGAGAACAATCAATCACCATCCTCTTTCAAAGCCCCCAAACATATCTGAAGACAGACATCAGTATTATCTGGCCAGATTTCAAGATAAAAGACTGTCTGGGATTTTAGCACAATGCTACTGTCTAACACCCAGTCTTCATAACAGACTGAACCATGTCAGGGGACAACTCATAAGGCAGTTGTCCTTCCAATTCAGCTGCAGTATGGCTCTGTCTTGTAGTGAAGATTATGTGTTAATAGCTCCAAAACACAGTCATGTCCCTGCATTAGCATGGCTCAGGGACCTGTTTTATGTCCTGTCCACACTACAAAATAGAACCGTGTTCTAAGCTGCAGACATGGTTTCACTTGCAGGATATTTGGGCTTAAATGATTCCACCCACAGGGAACTAAGCTGTAAAACTAAGCAGATTCCCCACATGCCAGAGAACAGAAGCTCTTTGGGTAGAATGGTAACTGACTGCTTTCACTCTGCAAACCCACATGACACTGGATGGTAGGGATGTAAGCGACTAGCAAAAGCTTACTGAACAGTCGATTAGTTGCTTCCCCACCCCATCTTGCTGCCTCTATCAAAGGCAGCAAGGGGAGGCGGCAGGAGCTGGTGCTGGAGAGAAACAGCTGATTCCCAGCTCGCGCCCTGTCCCAGAGCCGTGCCTCTGCTTTTTAAATGTATTAAGAGCCTACCAGCTGATTCCTGGCTTGCGCTGGGTCCCTCCAGCTGCACTTCAGCCTTTTAAATGTATTAAGAGCTGTCCGGAATTAGCTGTCCCAGCTTGTGCCAGGTCCCTCCTGCTGGACTTCAGCCTTTTAAATGTATTTTAAATGTAAAGGCTCTTAATACATTTAAAAGGCAGAGCTGCAGTGGGGTTAGCTCCTTTGGCCGATTACTGACTAATCGACTAGTTGATGGAAAATCCATCAACTAGTCAATTAGTTGATTAAACTAAATTTAACATCCCTAGTAGATGAATGAGAGAAACAAAGGAAAAGCATCCACCGTACAGACCTGTCTTTCCTTCCTAGACCTGTTCCAATAGACAATGAGCTGCAGTGCAGCAGAGTCTGAGAAAGGGTGATGGGGACGTGGGCCCTAAGGTTGGACAATACTCCTGCTACTGCTGTTTGAGTGAGCAGCTGCCACACAGGTGATTGGCCAGTGGCCAACCAAACGGCAGGAGACAATGCCCTGAAGACCCCTGATCTTTCCGTGACTGGAAGTCACTTGATTTAGACTCAGATGACAAGCTGGACACTGCCAACTGTTAAGCAGAAAGAAGGACAAAGATGTTCCTCCATCTTGGCAGAGTACATGGTCTTAATACAGCTCTGTCACAATATTTGCTTCCTTCTCTGTCTAATCTAGGGCAGATTAGAAGTACATACTGCTGGAATCAAGCTTTGTGCAATTGCAGCATCATAGAGGAACAAACTCCCTCTCTGGCACAGAAATAATATTTTTACGGGAAACTACATTATTATTTCAATAACATTTTTATGAAGTGATATAATTTTGTACGTGTGGGGTTCCACCACTCTGTATACCAAGAGGATTGGGGCTCCCTATACATCAGCATGAACTCTACCCTTCTCTCTTTAACCAGGGACTATGGACCAGCCCACACCTCTATTTGTTGCCTGGAAATAACTGGATTGACTCCACCTGTTGCTATTCCTCCTTTACTGCTACTTCTGCACTGGATACCATTTGCAGCGATGAGTCTATTTGGAGTGCCGCTGCATCCACACAGAGGTGCGTAGCTACACGTGTCAGTGAAAGGCTCTTGTGGACGGGGGAGAGGGAAGGAGGCAGCAGGGAAAGGCTCCTGCAGCGGGGAGCTGGTCATCTCCCATGTCCATGCAGCACATAACAGCAGTGCAGCCTGGGAGGCTCTGTTTGGGCTGTACAGTGCTGTGTAGGGTACACACACTCAGATTCAGGAGCATCTTTACTCTTCTCACCTCAGCAGTATCTCACTGCTCCTTACACCCATGTGGGGCATAGGCTGTGTGCACTCTCCACATGGCCAAAAGGAGTTTACAGGATGGAGCTGCTGTTGTTTCCCAGTACCGGTTCCCTCACTCTTAATCTGAGCCTGCGTCTAGATTGCAGAGTTTTTCTGGGATACCTCTGGAATCCCGGAAAAACTCTAACGCATCCAAGAAACGGGTCTGCTTTTCCGAAAAAAAATTCAGAAAAGCAGATGCGTTTTTTACAGGGATGCTGAAACCTCATTGTATGAGGAACACGGGATGTTCCGAAAAAGGGTTTTTTCCCGACATTTGGCCCAAATGGGCCAAATGAGGGAAAAACCTCTTCCAAAAAAGGAACTGGAAAAAAATACGCAAATTGTGGTTTGTAATTTGTGTATCTTTTTCCGATAGAACTGGGTAGTCTAGACACAGCCAGATTTACAGCTACAGCTACACCATATGATGTTATTTAAGAAAGCAAGGAGAAGAACAGAGAAGCAGGAAGAAAAACACTTACCTTCCTACCTAGCACTGCAGGGCAGACCATGGCACCAACCCTCTTGCCTGGGCTGGGGGAAGGTGCAAAGCTGCCCTGCCCTGAAGGGCTTGTACCTCAAGGAGCACAATACCTCTGCCAGTTCCCCAAGTGTATACAGGGAACCCTTACACTGCCTCAAGAGAGCCTATTCTCTGATAAGCAGCCTACTGTGCAGATAAGCAGTCTGGCCTCACATGACAAGTCTGTACCCTACATTCAACCCTTTCATAGAATTATGATAAATCGTGTACAAAACTATGATTTATGATCATCACTGCCCTTGTAAACAATATGCAGCAACACTATATGTTAGATTTCCTCTGTGTGATATTTTTGGGACATGTTCCAGCATGTTCAGGAGGGCAATCACAAACCAACTCCCCAGAGACAAAAGTCTGCTCAACACCTCAGTCAATTAGATAAACAGACCATCCCCTGATTAAGTGGCTACTTTGGGGAGGAGACAGGGTGAGCAAAAATCCACAACTTGATCAAAGAAACAGCTTGAGATTTCTGTCCACACAAGTGGTCTCGTGCACCTCAGCTGAGTCTAATCATTGTGCAAGAGGGAATCATCCCTTCCTTGCTCTTCATGCACAGCATCAATAACACTTGAGGAACAAGGAAAGCAACCCTGGAGGGGGCGGAGCTGTAGATTTGAACTGAGGGGATACAGCTTCCCATAAATCCAGATAGTGCCATAGGTAATGTCACACCCTAGCTCCTCCCCACCTTTCCCTGACATCCAGAAGAGCTAGGAGGGAGCACTGCCTTCTTTTTGTCTGGTACCACTACTGGTTTTTGTGCCTGTCCACAATCTGACCCCTATGCTACAAGGAACAAAGCAACTGTAACTTGGAAAAATATAGAGACACAGCATAAAGTTGCATACAGCTCCCTTCTCTAAATGTTGGTAGCATGTCATGGAAAAAAAGTCAGCAAAAAAGTCTCTCTCCTGCTTTAGCAAGGGCTGTTCTTCCCACTACTACAATCTAGTCTGATTTTTTTTTTCAAAGGTCACCTCTTGAGCAGTTGTCCTCAACCCTAATCCTTCTACCTGCTAAGTCTGGTTGCATCTACATTGAAGATTTTGTCCCATTCTTTCATAGCTAAAGTGAACTACCAAAGAAGGAAGAGTGTTAGTGCAGAACTGTGGCTGATGTCTTATCACCAAATAGTCTATAAATGTTCACAATGTGCTGAAGTACCTCCATCTGAACTACTAGATAGAGTGGGATTGGGGTGCAAGAAGGGGTGTGAGCTCTCAGGTTTCTCTGGAGATGAAGGGTTTAGGGTGCACCAGGCTGGGATCAAGGGAGAGGGCTGGGGCAAGGGGTTGAGGGACAGTTTAGGGTACAGGCTCCAGGTGGTGCTTACCTCAAGCAGCTTCTGGAAGCAGCACCACATGCCCCCCAGCTCTTGAGGGCACTGGCAGGGGGCTCTGTGCACCACCCTGGCCACAGGTGCAAATGGAGCCTTCTGGCTGAGTCTCTGTTTAGGAGCTTGGGGGGGGCGCATGCTGCTGCTTCTGGGTGCTGAGTGGGGCAGGGCAAGCCCCCAATACCGCTTCCCAGCACAAGTGTGAGAGCCAGATTAAACTGGCTGATAGGTTGGACGCAGCCCGTGGATCATAGTTTTCCACCCGACTCTAAAGACACTAACTGCACCTCTGCAGCTGCTAAATCAGCAAAGCACTTTAGTATGAGTCTGTGGCATGTTACAATCTCCTAACAAGCTTTTAATGTCATTGCCAATGCCCAGATGATCTGGTGTACGCAAAGTTGGACAGACTTCATCCCGGCTTGAGCCAAACCCCATCACGCACACTGGAAAGAGTCCAGCTGTTTCCAATGGGATTTGTATCAGGCTCTGTGTTTGCAAACATATAAGAGAGAGACAGACTTACAAAAATTCAGCAATAAATCCTACTTCTACAGAAAGTCACTTTAAAAATAAACTTTGCACAGTGCCTTGCAAAATAAATCTATTTTTCAAGCAGATTATTACTGAAAAAAGGGAGGGGGCATTTCTAGCAAGTCACAGAGTTTTCTACTTACCAAGGAGTGTTAACTTGCTCTCAAGCTTCATAGTAGATTCAAGCAGCAGCTCTTCCTTATTATCAATACTGGTTTCTGCTAAAAAATGACTTTTTAACCACTCTGTATATTCTGCATCACTCATCACCTGTGGAGGAAGCAGGGGGAAAAACACAGAGATCAATGCCTCAGCCAGTGTTTCCTGTAAGCTGAGCACTTGGGCAGCCATCCAGGAGAGATACAAATGCTGCCCTGCTTGATTAGATGAGCACTCAAAGCCACCCATAGCCAGTATCATGTGCTTCTACTGGTGGTGCACATCCATACAGACCTGGGCATATGCAACAAAATATATTCCACACATAGATGGAAAAAAAATTAGCAGGAACATTGGCCTCAGCTCTACTCCGTGCTCTAGCTACATAAATATCCGTGATTTTGCTTTGCTGACAGGTTTGGGCACATTTATTTTCATTACTGCTGAGCTGTACTATAAATATCTGTGAACCCAAAATTAAACTTTCCCAAAATGTCAAAATGACATTTTGCATCCCAACTATGCAGCACTGCCAACTGTATACAGCCTGAAAGTGAAGCCACAAAACTGGCCCAGGTTTATTGGGGTTTAACTAGTCTTCAAACTGGGCAAGTATCTTATGTTTTGTGAACATTTCCTTAATACTACTTACCTACTACATTTGTTAATCACAATTTTAGGGACAAAGTTGTGGGCATTAAGCCATCTGACATCCTGCACAGACACCCACTATGACCGTTAAAAGCAAAGCAGCAGCACAGGTCAAATGATTGATCTTTATGGAAATTGCCCTAATTTAAATAAAAGTCGAGTGCTGATGTGAAAGCATTTGTTTTGAAGTAGTGAGCTCCGTCTCATAGCTATTGCATTCAGTGTTCCACAGAAGGTATGTCATTTCATGAACTCCTATAAATCTCTTCACAAGTTACCTTTTTAGCAATACACAATGTGCGCAGTCCTCTTCTGGCATAATCATCTAAGTGTTTCTGAGTCCTCGCTTTAATTTTCTTTTGTTCCATTTCTGATTTATCATCTGAAATTTGTTTTAAAAAGTAAAAATTAAAATATGCCTTGTTGGCAGTTTATTTACTGGTATATTTCTAAAAATAAAGTAAAAAGTATATTTTTAAATCATACTTGGGGCCTACATTTGGTGATTGTACCAGGATGTCTTGCTCTGTGCAGGGCAAAGTAATGTACATTGGGAAACAAAAACCTAACTGCACATATGAAACAGTGGTTCTCAAAATGTGGCCTGCAATTATCTTGCAGGTAGGCCACAGGTTTGGGACTCACTCAGTGCCTCCTCTCCCACCTGGTCATGAGCTTGCACTGGCAATCCAGCCCTGCTGCCTCCTTCCCCTAGGTTGGAGTGACAGTGCCACCTTTGCTCTGCGGAGGGTGGGGGAAGGGAGGGAAGAGCCTCACAGGTCAGATCCAGCTTGCAGGGGGGGAAGGAAATGGCTGTGTGCTGCCTTCTGCCCACTCCTCCCAGCTTGGGGAATGGCAGCATGCCCAGAGGCTTTCCCCACTACTCACACTGGCCAGAACTGCAGTCAGCAGGGAGCAGTGCCTAGGAACAGTGGGAGGCACAGAACCAGATAAGCACCCCCCATCTCCTCACGGCCAGACTCCACACTCCTACCCCCCCACACCCTTCCCACTGAGACCATACACCCCCACCCCACATCCTCCCACCCAGACCCTCCAGCCCGCTCCTGCATCCTACTTCCTGGCCAGACCCTGCACTCCCATCCTCTCCTGCACCCATTTTGTCATCATGGGGGTTGGCTGGTGGTCCATAGAAAGGGCTGCATTGAGTGGAGTGGGCCAAAAAGTTTGACAACTGCTGACCTAGATATTTCTGTAGGAACATAGGAACCAGGAAATTGTTCACTGAGGGAGCTCTGTTCAGTTATTTACCTTCTTTTATGTATCACTCCAAACTTTGCATTCAATTGCTCTGGTGAGATACAATGATGAAACCAAGAGCTGACAAAGTTCCGTACGTACCTGCAGGTCCAGTCCACAACAAATCCATAATGACTGAGTCTGCACCTTTTGTGTACACCACCACCTTGTTGGAGAGTGGATGTCTTACAATTACTGACATTCTTTTCCGTACTGAGTCAAAAGGCAGAATGTGCAAAAGCTGAAACGTTACAGATCCCAAAGCAGCCAGGTCCACAGTCACTTGATCAGGAGTCCTAGACTGTAAAGTGCATTTGTAAGCTCTGGCAGCATGAACTAGTGCAGCTTCATCCGGGCTCTCAGCCTCATAACACAACTTAGACATAGATTGTTGAAGAGATGATCCAGCATCACAGTGCTCGCTGCCTGCAGCTGTGTCCACTCTATCTAGTGGTTCAGGTAGAGATACTTTGGCACATTGAGAGATCTCAGTATCCTGAGTTTCATTAGCCATGTGAGTCCCCGCTTCCATAGCAGGTGAAGCCAGCTTCACTCTGAAAATAGACAGTTTGCTCACAAAAGTACTAGGGCTGTCCGATGACGAGGACTCTTTTGTACTTGGAACTGGTGATGTGCTCAACCTTCGGACTGACAACCTCTGAAACATCTGTTTGATTTCCTCAAGGGATTTAATAGGAGTTCTACCTAGTGAAGATAGTCTTAACTGCAACAGAATTATAAAAAAAATCATCTGAAACATGTGTACATGCGCTGAAACAATGTAATTTAGTAATGGAGGTATTTTATTTCAGCAAGGAGTTGATGTGTTACAAAAACAGATATTTTTCTTAATATATCACTAATTTAAAACTTTAATGCTAATTTGTACACTTATATTGATTATTTTTAATATATTTTACTGTGTACTTCTGTTAAACAAATACAGTCAAACCCACAGCTAATTAGATTGCAAGCACAATTGTTGAAAACACAGAATTCAGTCATTGAGGGGGCCATTTAGAGATCTGGGGCAAATCGGTCAGGGATGGTACTTGGTCCTACCATGAGGGCAGGGGACTGGACTCAATGACCTCTCAAGGTCCCTTCCAGCTCTGAGAGATAGGTATAGGTATATCAAGGATGAAAAATGTGGTGTATAGCAAACTGTAGCTGACTCCGGGCATTACTACAAAGCTTAGGAAGAGTCTGATTTTCAGTTTTATACTGTAATAACAATTAAAATATATCTAGATTTGGCAGTTTGGGTGCATTGCTGAGGCTCAAGAGCTATTTTGAGGGCAGTGATTTTTCTCTTTGCAATAGTAAATTATCACAGTATATTTATAACTGGAACTCCATTGTTTTCTAAAAAATTAAAATTGAATGTATCCTGTAAGTAACCTTATTACAGAAAAGGTGAGGGTTGAACTTCTCACAAAAAAGCATGTGATTACTATCAGTAAATGTCACTTCATTGAAAACTTGTTCCTGCTACTAAATTTCAGTACAGGCAGTCCCCGGGTTACGTACAAGATAGGGACTGTAGGTTTGTTCTTAAGTTGAATCTGTATGTAAGTCAGAACTGGCATCCAGATTCAGCCACGGTTGAAACTGATCAGTTTCAGCAGTGGCTGACGCCAGTTCCGACTTACATACAGATTCAACTTAAGAACAAACCTACAGTCCCTATCTTGTACGTAACCCGGGGACTGCCTGTACTGAAATTTAGTAGCAGGAACAAGTTTTCAATGAAGTGACATTTACTGATAGTAATCACATGCTTTTTTGTGAGAAGTTCAACCCTCACCTTTTCTGTAATAAGGTTACTTACAGGATACATTCAATTTTAATTTTTTAGAAAACAATGGAGTTCCAGTTATAAATATACTGTGATAATTTACTATTGCAAAGAGAAAAATCACTGCCCTCAAAATAGCTCTTGAGCCTCAGCAATGCACCCAAACTGCCAAATCTAGATATATTTTAATTGTTATTACAGTATAAAACTGAAAATCAGACTCTTCCTAAGCTTTGTAGTAATGCCCGGAGTCAGCTACAGTTTGCTATACACCACATTTTTCATCCTTGATATACCTATACCTATCTCTCAGAGCTGGAAGGGACCTTGAGAGGTCATTGAGTCCAGTCCCCTGCCCTCATGGTAGGACCAAGTACCATCCCTGACCGATTTGCCCCAGATCTCTAAATGGCCCCCTCAATGACTGAATTCACAACCCTGGGTTTAGCATGCCAATGCTCAATCAGGCATTTTATTGATTAATAGAACACTGTAAAAATGGAAAATCCAATTTAATTTTAAGTCCCTCTTGTAAAAGGTAAATATGAAATATTCAAGGCAAGTCTCACTTCACTGGAAACTTGTTAGCTGTATATTATGCATTAACTTATTACAGTGTTAAAATGGAACAGTCCAGTAAATTTTCCTTTTCTTCTAGCAAACATGGCAAACCAAAGGAGAAGCAAATTACCACTTTTAAAAGGCAATGTTTTGTTTTCTCTCCATGCAAACAAGACTATAGGGAACACCTGAAAAGTTGTAATATGCTGCAGCAGACAGAAGCGTGACCACTTGAGCAGCAGATTTTTCTGCCTTACCTTTTGACGTGGTTGGTTAGGAGCTGAAACTACCACAGTATTACAGATTGCCAGAGCAAGAAAGAAGTCAGTGATGTATACTGATTCCAAGGATGACTCTCTCTCAGTTTCTTCTAATTGTGCATATACATTATAGGAAATTTGACTAAATTTCTCCAAGAGCTTTGCATCTGGAACAACATCAGTCTCCTGTTGGTCAAATAAAATAGGATACCCTCTTATCATATAATTCCAAAAGGTCTGATGTGGCTGCTGGCACAAACAGTCTCAGCGTTGCAAGGTTTTACAATGCACATGTATAAAGTTCTCTTAAAGGTGCACATAAATAGAATAATCACTTCCTGAACTCCTACTGGAAGCTGCTGCAGGGAAGTTAATATCAAACCAAAAAAGTAAAACCTACTACAGTTTGTAACATGGATGGATTAGAGAAGTTTAGGCAATGTCTTCCTGCTAATAAAAATCCCATCCTGGTAGATATGAAGCACTTCTGGGAGAGAAGAGAGCACCCTGATGTATGCAGCATCTCATAGATGAGGGTTAGCACTTTGCAGGGGCAGATCTTTAATCCCTCATACTTTTTAGTGCATGGAACATAGGAGTTGGCATATTGCATCAGACCCACAGTCCATTTAGACCAGTATCCTGTTTTCCACAGTGGCTGGTATCCTATGCTTCTGAGGAAGAAATAAGAAACACTTCAACAGGCAGACTGTAATCTGCCCCCCACAAATTTCATTCTAATCCTTTGTGCACCCTAATATTTTGTTGGCTGTTTTGACCACAGAGTAGAGGTGTTCACTAAGTTGGTCACACTGATACTTAGGTCTTTTTCCTGCATGAGCATTGTTAATTTCGAACCCTCAAAACAGATTTTCACTTTCCCAACATCCTAATTTCATGAGGGAACACCATAAAATTGTCCCTCCCCCCACCCCCATAACTTTGCCTTCTAGAACTATTTTGCTGCCAGTTCTCCTGCATCTACAGAGAAAGGGGGGAGAATATGTCCCATTCAGAATTCTGAGATTTTTTTATGGGGGATAAACTTCACACCAATTCAGAGGAGCCAGCCCCAGATGAAGTCCTACGTATACCTTTCAGTGCATAAGTTGGACTTGAACGTGCCTTGACCTTGAGCTGGCCCTTTGCATAGGATGAATTTCACACCTACATAGACAGAATGCAGTCTTCCCAAGTCCTAGTTCATGAGTAAGGCTACAATACAGTCATGAATTCTCTAACTTTACCAGCCTCTGTGACTTCTTTGGCTTCTGTTGTCAGTGGCTTCCAACAGGGGCTGCAGCTGGGGCCATGTACCCTGCCCCACAGCTTCCCTGGGCCATGCATTTGCAAATTTAATAAGCACCCCCCCCACACACTCCTCTTTGGGAGCAAGGCCTGTGTACCCCTCCCCTGCAGCTGGGTCTGTGTCCCCGTCCTCCATGGCTGTGCCCCCTGGATCCATGACTGTGCCCCCACCCCTCGCACATAGTGGTGAGGCTTGACCTGTTAGCCTTCCTCACGTGACTCCATCTGTCATTCCTTCCCCCCTACTTAACCCTCCCCTGGTTATTTTTAGTAAAATCACAGACAGATCACAGGCAACAAACCAAAATTCACTTGAGCCTGTGACCTATGACTTTTACTAAAGTAACTGTGACAAAATCTTACCCTTCCTCATAAGCACTCCAGCCAAAATAAAACAAAATTGAGACACCATCTATTTAGTGTTACTTTAAGTCTCATTTATAAGGGATGTACACAGTGCAGGGAACTTTTTGCTCCCAACAACCTGGTGCTTGAGGCTGGAATATGGCTTACCCACCCAACTATTACCTTTTCTTTTTTAACATCTTCTAAAGCAACACTGCAAATACTGATTAAATTTTATTTATTTATTTCTTCTGGCTTGCTTGTGGAGTTATATAAGTGAGATTCAGTGAAGATGCACTGGTGATATGAATTATTTAGTAGCACCAGTATTATCTAGTAGAAACATGTACTTCCATGCATAACACACTGTGCATATCAAATATATGTCATCAAACAACTGCTTTATAGGCAAGCCCTTTGAATGCTTTATCTTAGGTATTTATCTGGCCCCTATCACTATGGTATATGAGCAACTCCAAATTTGTAATGCATTTACCCCAAGGGTTTTAAACTTTTTGTATTGGTGAGCCTTTTCACACAGCAAGCCTCTGAGTATAACCATCTCCCCTTTTACATTAAAAATGGGGGTTTGGGGTTATTTCACTTAATGGAAGCTCAGGGCTATCAGCCTTGCAGAGCTGACAGTTTGCAACCCCTATGTAACCACCTCATGACTTCCTAAGGGGTCACAATCACCAATTTGAGAACCTCTGTTTATCCACACAGCACCTGTGAGGTACGGAAGTGCTATTAGGCCCAGGTTACAGAAGGGACCTGAGTCACAGAGAAGCTAGGGGACTTGAACAAAGCCATACTGGAAGTCTGTGGAAGAGCAGAGAATTTGAATCTATTGCCCTAACCACTGGACCATCTTTCTCACCTAGCTTTATGTGAACAGTTTAGAAAGGGATGAGCATAAATGAAAACCTGATGCTCCCAATTCAGTTCTGATTTTTCATTAAAAGTTGCAAATCCACCTTTTACTTGTGCCATCATTTAAAAATGTAGCAGTTACAAATCAGCTGCAGGGAAGCGCTCTCTCAACTGTCTTTTTGAAGGTAAACAAACATTTTCAGATAAAACCAATGATCTATTCAATTTTAAAGAAAAAAAGAGAGATGTCTTCATGAGTTACTTCAGATATTTAAGATCAAAAGACATCAAGCTATACTTACAATGGGGCTGCTGAAAGCCATATGTCTTGAGTGTGAAACGTTACTGACTCCATCTTCCCCTCCTAAAGCAGAACCAGGCAGCTGATTCAAAGACTTGGAGTTCAAAGGCCCACTCACTGTCCTGCAGCTGTGCACCTTCTGCTTTGGCATATGACTCAATGAGCCACACAGAGCGCCTGTTAAATCCTCATCCTCTGAATCAGCCTCTTGGTAGGAGTCCAGCCTCTTGGCTAGTGGGGGGAAAGGGGAGAGAAAACACATTTCAGCCACCAAGAAGAATCGCTCATTTGTCCATTATTACAAGCTCAAACCATCAGCTGGAGGTCTGTGATATGAACTTTAAAACATGCAATTTTGTACACGAATATAAAAATAGATTATATTGAATTCAACATTTGAATCAAAAGCAAAAACAAAACAGCCAATACTGATCACATGAACACTGGTTTGGCATCACAAGTATTGCTTTTAATAAGGGCTGTGTGAATTCTGCCTAAACTTTATCTGTTTGTAAAAAAGTGATGAATCAAAAACAGTTTTTTTTCTACTGAAAAGCCAATCTCAGTGGCGATCAGACGATATGACTATGCTGGTCTTTTTGATCTTTAACTATGTCTACACTAGCCCCCTAGTTCGATCTAGGGAGGCTAATGAGGGCAACCAAAATTGCAAATGAAGCATGGGATTTAAATATCCCGCACTTCATTAGCATGTTCCCGGCCAGTTGCCATTTTAGAAATTGACTAGCCCAAAGTAACTGCCCCCGTCTACACACGGCAGTGAAACGGGATTCCGAATTAAACCCCTAAATCGAATTAGCTGTTAAACCTCATTCCAGGAGACACAGGCATGCTGTGTACACGTGGGCAGTTACTTTGGGCTAATCCATTTCTAAAATGGTGACCGGCCGGGAACATGATAATGAAGCACAGGATATTTAAATCCCGCACTTCATTTGCACTTTCGGTCGCCCTCATTAGCCTCCCTAGATCGAACTAGGGGGCTAGTGTAGACATACCCTCAGTCTACGAGCCTACAAGACAACTTGCTCACTTGAAAACTGACCCCTTTTTTTCAAGAAAATAATCTGTGCTGCATGCTCTTCCACCAGCACCTTTCCTTAAAGCAACTATTGTGCAAGGACATCTCTAGTAAAAGTCATGCCCTTCCAGCCATAGTTTTTAGTCACCAAAAATATTTGTTTTCATAATCTGATGTTTGTTGTAGAGAGAACAAATATCAGTTCTGTGACAATGGCACATGGTTTATAAAATAAAATACAGTAACTGAAGAGAAGCCTGACTGAAATCAGAGACCTTACACAAACTTGCCATTGCACTAGGATACTGTGTTCCTTCACATGCAGATGTGGCTTTCAGACTTGCATTAGGACCATGCTATCTCCAGTACAAAGTTCTGGTACCACGACTGCTCCAACTAGGGCTGCCAACAGAACAGACAGGCAAGATACGCTCATGGGAGGTGTGGGGAAGGGAAGTGCCTAGCAATTCAATCAGTAGCACTGATTGAAACAGCCTGGGACTCCACAACGGCGATTTAAAGAGCACAGGGCAGCTGCTCCCCTCTCCCCGTCGGCAGCCCTCAGCACATTTATGTGCCTCTCTCCCTGGGCAATATGTACAATAAGCACAAATGAATATACACTGATTAAGTAGAATGTACCCAGATGATTCTGCTGGGTTTCTGCAATGCAACGCTATTGTCGAAAACAGGAAATATGGGAGTAAAATCCCATGTAATGTTCTAAAAAGCTGAATCCAAAAAACGAACCCATTTTTGTCCTCTCTAATCCAAGAAAGGCAGAAAGACCGTACCCAGCACTTTTCATGCTGTATTTACACGTCACCATCAATAAGCACATGACCCATCTCCAACCACTGGGGCACAGCATGAAACAACTGGAAATATAGTTAATGTTATGGCATTTTATTACGGTGATACTAACAGACCAGAACACAAATGGAAAATTAATAGTGGATGTTCAGCACCTAGCACAAGACAGCTCTGATACTTGACAGGCAGCCTCTATGGCAGGGGTATCCAACCTTTTTAAGCACAAGATCACTTTTTGAATTTAAATGCAATCCAAGATCTACCTCAGAGTCAAGTACTCTGCCCTGCCTCCTTCGTGCCCCTTCTCTGAGGGCTACCTCTGCTCCCTCCGTCCTCCCTCCCTTTCACGGGGGGGGCGGGGGGGGGAGAGAGGGTTGGGGCACAGGCTCCAGTTTTGGGCTAAGGGATTTGGAGTGCGAGAGGAGCTCTGAGCTGAGCCTGGGGCAGGGAGTTGGGTTACACAAGGGGGTTCAGGGTGCAGGCTCTGTAAGGGTATGTCTACACAGCAAAGTTATTTTGAAATAACAGCCATTATTTCGAAATAACTTTACCAGCGTCTACACAGCCAAACCGCTATTTCAAAATTAAATTGAAATAGCAGAGTACTTCTTTCGAAATTGGTAAACCTCATTCTACGAGGAATAGCACCAATTTTGAAATTGCTATTTCGAAATAAGCGCTATGTAGACACTTATTTCAAAATAAGGGGCCTCCAGCCCTTCCCAGGGTGCCCTGGTGGCCACTCTGGGCACAACCAAGAAAACTCCTCTCCTCCCCCCCTTCCCTTCCCCCCCACCCCCGGAGCTCTTAAAGGGGTAGACTCTGGCCACAGTGCCTGTGCCAGCTCCAACCCTGCCAGCCCAGAGCCAGCAGTCGCTGCCCCTGACCCCAGCATGAGCCAGGCAGCCAGGGCCACCCAGCCCTCCACCGCTCCCCAGGAGCAATCTGCCAGCTCCCAGGAGCCTGCCAGGGGCCAGAAAAGGCGGGCACCTGCCTGGTCCAGTGCGGAGATCAGGGACCTAATTCAGATTCAGGGGGATGCCTCCAATGATCTCCACACTAAATGGAGGAACACAACCGTCTACAGATGGATAGCTGCCAGCCTGGCCACCAAAGGCCACATGCGAACCCAGCCTGAAAATAAAGGAGCTGCGGCAGGCCACAGGGAACAGCTCCCAACCAGACCCTTGCCCCTATTTTGATGCCGTGGACCGCATCCTGGGGGGGCAAGATGGTCTATGCCCCCCAGGTGGTCATTGACCCTGGGTCATAGCTTGCTTTCTCCTTCTGCTCCAGCCCCTGCTGCTTCCCCAGCTACAGCTCTTCCTCCCACTCCCGCTTCCTT